TAATAGCTTTGTTTCTCAGGGATGCCAGATTGAGATCCAAGCTCCTTAGGATTTTTCCCCCTTCATACTTAAACAGGAAGCTTGGTGGAGAGTGTTAGTAGCATAAGCATATTTTGGGCATATTTTAAGTGTGTTTCTGACATATTCTAATATTTTGTTTTTGTGGAACACAGTTGCAGAAGATCAGTCTAGGGCACAGTTAGAGCTGTGGAGGCCTGAGTCAGTCATAACAAAGCAGTAATTCGATTGTGAAGACCCCTGGACCTGTGCCCCAGAGACCAAGCCTACATCATCGCAAGCTCCACACTATGCTGTCACCTCCAAACACATAAACAATGGAATGTTTGACCAGACCTACACATCCACAAAAAGAAGTCCTTTAAGATAAAGAGCCTTAAAATAAACATCTTATGACACATATTTCTGGCATTTCTCACACATAGGTTGCATCTGCCCATAGAGATGACAACCCCCTAAAGAGTAGGGGATCCTCTCCCCGTGCCTCTTAGCTTCTCCTAAGAATGTTAAGTGACACCAGATACTCACTGCTAAAACAAGCACTTTGTTGTAGAATAGTCATTTTTCTATTGTGCTCTGCCCTACTTTCAAAAATACAAACTGCTACCTATCTCAGGAGGACAGGTACAGCTGACCAAAATCTCTTTCTGGAGCTATCCCTTGGGCTTATCCTCCCTTTGATTCGGAAAGTTAAACTCTTCACTCAATTTTTTCTTACCACAGTGGTGATTATTATTTCAGTCCACACTTCAGTACTCAAATGAGAACTCCACCAACGAGTAAGAGGACGGAACAATCTGAATTTACCTTTCAAAAAGGAGCTTAAATATGGCCAAGCCAAGGGAATGGTTATGACTACTGAGAACTGTGAGGGAAAATGGCTCCAGGAATCCCAAAATGGTTCAGTGAGGCGGCTTCCCACAGAGGAAGTGCAGTGGACCCAATTATTTTATTAGGATAAGCATAATCCTTGTTTCTTACAAGTCTAAATTTTATCAGAACAGGATCTCAGGAAGCTTTTAGAAACAGGAAGCTCTTACCCACACCCTGATGTCAAGGAAGAAATTATGGTAATGATTACCTTACCTGCTTGGTAGTTCAGCAAGAAGCTATTCAGGTGCGATGTCATGAAAGCAATTTAGAATCTATTCTTTCTAATCCATTTACAGTAATTATCACACTTTTCCCACTGAACACCTCCCTAGTGGCTTCAAGGTGTGTTTATTTCTGTTTCTCAGCACAGATCTAATTTCCCTGAGGACAGGGGTTTGGTTCTTACCGGTGAAGAAAGAGATTTCCAACTATTAAGATCCTTGCTTAGAGCAGGAGAATATTTTCCCATGGAAAATTGCATTCTGTGAGTTGTTTTAATTCTGGGTCTGGGCTTCTGAAACCAAAGCAAAAGGGAAGAATCCTCTGTGCCTGAGAAGGTTAGTAAATCAGCAGCTCCAGCAGAGGGAAAGGCAGAAACCGCCCTGTCTTCTGGTGGAGGCACTCAGCCAAGGCCTGCGAGACTACCAGCCAGCCCACAGACAGGCCCACTGCTAAGACCGGGCCACACTCCTGTGTGTGAAGGAGCCCCCCCCCAAAGGGTGTGGCTGGATTTTCCTTGGCTTTGACCTCCAGGCTTCCTTCCTCGCAGGCCTCCTCCTGCCCGCCTGGCCTAGCAGTGCAAATGGGTATTTACAAGCCCAAGTAATGTGGGCCTATCTGACGCTGTTTCTTAAGTTCCCTTTGGTGATTCTCAGCAGGTATTGTGATAGAGGAAAGTGGAATAGATATCTTTTACAGTTAGAAAGAAAACTAGGGTTTACATTTCAGCCCTGCCTTTTGCTGAGTTTGTTACCTTTGGCTCATCAGTTCACTCCTGGGAGCTGGACAGCTGTGTTCCAGGAGACTCAGGACCTGGCAGGCTTGCTGTGGATCCACCCAGTGCCCAGGCCGCACAGGGTGAGATGCCAGGTCCCTCCCCTTCAGGCTCTTGGGACCATTCAGTCCCAGGAAAAGAGCAGCTGTAACTGAATCGCCAGTCAGCAGTTGAGCGAAGGCCCTGTGAGGCTGGATACGCTGGATCTCAGGGTGCACTGTAACCTTGCGAGCCTGGTAGAAATGCAGATGCCCAGGCCCCTGCCTACCTGGGTACCCTGGGGCTTTTGGGGTCACCCTGCACAGCCTGGTGCAAGTTAGTGGGACTGTCAGTGTGGGAAATACTGGCTCACCCCTGAGGCAGACCATGGGCTGATGTGAGCACCTTCAGACCTCTTGGGACAAAGGTTTCTAGTTGAGGTCGGATTTTATTCCACTTAGGTCTCCTGGGATCACCTCTAGCTCCTGTCCTAGTCATCACAATCCCATTCCTTCTCCCATTTCTTACCTCTCTAAAAACGTGTCCTTTATCACACCTTTATATAAAAACCCTACAAATGAGATCTTCGAAGAAGGAGGGGCCAGGGTGGGGACGGCCAGGGCCCTAAATCTGGCATTAATGGTGCCTGTCACCCGGTGATAATGCAGTGCTGCTGTTGAATTGTTTAATGACTAATTTATCAATGACAATGTTCATAGGATAAAGTCCCAGACTCCTGGAAGCTGTGAACACAACCATAAGGAACTGCATTTCTATCAGTCAGGGTCCAAGGAGCGAGGCTACGATGCACACCTGACAGTTGCAGGTGTCAGCATAGCACACAGGGAGGATAAAATGCCACAGGAGTGCGTAATAAAACCTGAGTGTGATAAAGCACCACATGTGTGCGTGATGGGCGGGGCAGCCCTTTGCTGCCAGGAATTGCTGGAGTGCTGTCCTGGGGGCTGAAGGGTGCTGGGGTCCCACATGGGATGTGGCCCCCACAGTCATAGGGTGCTCCTGGGAGCTGTGTTCAGTCCTGAGAGCTGTGGGTCCTGCTGGCCAGGGACCTGAGGTTCAAAGCCAACAGGTAGGGAGATCTTTAGGGATGGTGGTCAGAGGGTAGGTTTTACCCGCCAGTCTCCGGAGAATCCAGGGGAAGAAGGTGGCTGTATTCATGCTTTAGGGAAAGAATGTTGATACTAACACAGAAAACATCTCAATAAAAAGGTGTGGGCTACTTAGGGCTCAATGTCAGCCTCAAATCAGATTTTCTTTGAGATTTTATGTGGCTAGGAAGGGAAGGGCAGAGGAAGGAGGGCTTTGGGGGTGTGCTTGACAGTTTTGAAAGTTAGGCTTATTGGGGTAATATCGGTTTGCAATACTCAGGGGCACATACATAGTTCATACCTCTGCAAATGTGTGTTACCACAGCGCACCTGCCACCATGTCCCAACAATTCTCCACCATAATCCAGGGGGCCACCTGCCACTCTTGGAATTCCATAAGACCTTATATTGTAGGTCTTAGTTCTAAGTTTAGGAGCAGTTTTAAGTTCACAGGAAAATTGAGGGGAAGCCATAGAGATTTCCCATATACTCCCCAGCCACGGCTTTCCCCAATTAACACCTCCTCCCACACCAGGTGGTGCATTTGTTATAATTGGCCCAGCAGCAATGCCTCATATACTTCAAGCCCAGCGTTTACAGGAGGGTTCTTGCTGCTGCCTTCTATGGGTTTATACAAATATGTACTGAACAGGTATCCATCATGATAATGCCATCCAGTGAATTCACTGCCCTAAAAATCCTGGTACCTTTCTATTTATTCCTCATCCTGGCAATAACTGAATCTGTTGGCTATCTCCATAGTTTTCCCTTTTCCAGAATCTTTGAAGGTTCTTTTAACAAGAAAGACACATTATAAATTACTGTTATAATAACAAAGAAAGGGGTAAAAACCTGTTTTAATCATCCTGGCTTATGAATAATGAATAATGTTTGAGAGAGACAATGGGGCTCAGGAGGAAATGTTGGTGGAAAACATTTTATGGACAGGTGCTATCAAGAAGATTGGCAAGTATCCAACTTGAGAGAACGAGGAAAGTTCTGATGTTCAGTAAGAGCGAGAACACAGGAAGAGGTGATAATAGTGAGGGTGCAATACTTACTGCACTTTGAGAAACCATCACCAGTTAATCAGGAGGTCATTCCAATGCGTGGTGTGATCAACTAGGTTTGAACGTGTGGCCCGTACCAAATGTCGTCTCCACAGATACAGAAATACTGAGCATATGTTTTACTTATAGATGTAAGCTAGTATGTTAAGCGTGGATTTATTTCAAAGATACCCCAACTTTTTCAGGAGTGTCACTTTTCAGAAGGGAACAGTCTTGACATTCTGGTTCAGCATAGTTAGAAAAGTGTCAACCACTCTTAGGCTGGTTTTCATGCCGACTGTCTCCTTGCCTGTTAAGTACAGTCCTAGAAATCTGTGCTACCGCCTAGTTCTTTACTTACCAGCAGTATCTCTTCGTGGTCTGCCGGCCTAACCTTTGTTTCTGAAATATTAATTTGCAAAAAGGTGGGTTCCAGCTGGCAGCCAGGAGCAGTCTGGCTGGAAGCCCACATGCTGGTCACCGCAGGATCGGGACCAAATCATTTCTAAAGAAAAGGCCTCTGTCCTGATGAGCCTTGGCTGGTCCACCTAGGCCAGGGAAGACAGGGCACTTTGCAGATGTTGAATGTTGACCTGTTCACTGGGGTCTGAACAATGGTTCTAGGGCACAGATGGCTTTTCTGAAATGTACCTTCACTGAATGTGCGACAGACTTATATTTAATTTAATTTCTTTTAAGTAAAGTCCTCTAGGGAAAATGTCCCAGATTTTTCTTGATTGGGTATTATTTATAGTACACTGGTTGAGTTTAATTTCTCTTTTGATAAAACTGTGTGACTTGTAACTAGGCAATTGACTAATGTATTTTTAGCACTGGTAGCTGGTGATGAAAAAAAATCTACTTTGCATGTCCACCTCAGGTAACAGAGCTTGCCAGGTGAGCCTCGGTCACAAGAGCTGGGGCCAGCTCTGGGGCAGCCCCTGCCCTGTCCCTAACACGTTCCCATTCTTCTTGCAGGTATGAACGCCGCTGTCCGCGCTGTCGTGCGCATGGGAATATACGTGGGGGCCAAAGTGTACTTCATCTATGAGGTCAGTGCTACCACACATTCCTGCTTTCTCTCACTCAGGAATTCCGCCCCAAGGGCCAGTGACCATAGCCCAGAGCTGCAGGTGACCTGCAGGCAGCCCACCTACCTGGGGACTCCTGGGGTCATGTTACCTGGAGTCTGCATACCCTTATTGAGATGCAGGGCTGTGCAGGAGCCTGTGATGGAGTGAGGGCCATTTTGACATCAAGTTATTGTTCTTTTCTTCTAGGGTAAATTCTCTCTAATTGATGCTACTTATGTGTACCTCCCATTCCTAAGGAGTGGCCTGTTTATTTAATGTAGAGACTGAATTTGAATATTAAATGGGGAAAAGCGAGCACTTAGAGCTTTGTATCATTAATATAAAATCTAGATTATCTCCTTAATAATTGTGTATTAACTTCAAAAATGAAGAGTCTGAAATAAAGCAGCAGTGATTATTCCTTATCTTCTGTTTTGAGGTCCTGGAAACTTAGACCTGAGAAATGATTGGTGATAAAGCACTAATATAATTTGGACTCTGATGTATTTCAAAAACTATTAGATAAAGAAAAAAAAAGTAAGCTTTAAATTTTATAAAGTGGGCCCTCCCTGGTGGCGCAGCGGGTTAAAGCACTGCACTAAGAAGCTTAAGCCACTTCCTCATGAGTTTGATCCCCGGTTGCCCCGGAGGAGATCCACATGGCGCGGCAGACCTCTCCTGACCTGCCCGCTGCTCACCTCAGCAGTGTACTTCGTCGATCTGCCTGTTCTGCTCCCCACTCTGTCCCTGGTGAATCCTCTCACCCTCCGCATCTCTGGCCTATACCACAGTTCTGTATGAATAAATAAATAAATCTTAAAAAATTATAAAGCATAAAAAAACTTAAATATGGAAAGAAGAATATTTTATTTTTACTTATACTATATAGGAATTTAGGAGTGTAAACTCACCTCTTCAAATATGTTGCCACACTTATCACCAAAGCTCCCAGAGTCCTCCACCGTAGCGGCCTTCTCCCTCTGCTCTTTACCTTACCACATCTGGAAGCCTCAGTTTTCTAGGCACACTTGTAGAGTTTGTTTTGGTTTAATTATCTCTCTTCATTTGCTTTGTTTCATTATATCCCACATTTGAGATCATCCTGCTTATATGTCTTTCTCCTTCTGAATTATTTCACTTAGCAAAATCTCCTCCAGTCCTATCCATGTTGTTGCAATGGCAAGAGTTCACATTTTTTGTAGCTGCATAGTATTCCGTAGTGTATTTATACAACATTAAGAAGAAAATATTTTTTAAACTGCTTAATTCCTCCAAAGTCAGTGCTTTATTCTATTACCCCAGCATTATATATGTGGTAGACTAGAAGGAAATATAAATATATACACTGTTAAAATTGTAGCAAATACATTTTGTATAGTTATTTTCTACTTTCCATCCTAAGTCTATTTTCATGTTCTAGTCATTCCTCAACTATTGCTTCAGCTATCAAAATTCCATCCAGTTGCTGTTGTGTCATTTACTCAGTCTTTTATTTACCCAATCATTGCATCCCCAAGCATCTAGTCAGGCCACTCCTCATTTTTCAAGCCCCATGACATAACCGGACCTATATTAGTATTTAAAGCTGTTCTGTGTTTTGTGTTATTACTGTGGTCGCAAAATTCCTCACAGACTGAGTTCAAAGGGATGGTCCTTCCACAGGGCTGATGTATTTTGCCAAAGCAGTTTTTGAAGCTTACTCCAACCTACGCCACCAGCATGCCATGTTCAGCAGTGGTGCTACCAAATCCGCAGTCCTGTGTGTGGGCTTCTAACTCCCGAGAGCAGGTTCAGTTCCTGGGTCTGTTTACTGAGTCATTTTCTCCATCTGTCAAGTGACTGTTCATAGTCTGCGCTCCCAATGACCATTTGCTCTGTGTTTGCCAGTGCAGTGTTTCTCCAAGATTTGCTTTGCTTTGCTTTTTTTCAACCGTGGTCTGTGGATTTGTTTTTACTCGGTTTGATGCTGTTGACGGGTGGTATGATCAAACATTTCCTGGACCATTTTATCATTTTCCATTAGGATCTTTGAGGGTCAGGTTGCCCTTGTGAGAGTCCTGCTAGCCTCTCCACATGGGCTTGCTCTGCTCACTAGCCTGGGCTGAGCACATCCCCACCTTTACCTTCTCCCTCCCTGTGATGTGTGACTTTGCATACAGCAACCGACAGGGAACTGCTACTGCTGCTGGAGAGCATGCAGGCAGGTGGATTTTTGGAGGGGAAGATTTGCATTCTGCCTTAGAATGTGAGCAAATACACACCCTGGCCTGGGAGCAAAGCCTAATGAGTGAGCCCAGGTCTCAGAATCTCTGGGGGTTCGAGCTCCCTTGGGCAGGACTTTTGGTCATAATTAGCAAGGTGTTTTCAGATTCCTAGAGATGAATCTACCCAGTCTCCTGCTGTGGTCCTGTTTGCCCTGGTGAAATCATCACTATTGTACCAGCTCTACCACAACAGACTTGCGGATGATGCCCAGCAGGACTCCAGGGACATGAGGATGGGTGGGGAGGAGTCATTTCAGTATTTCCTAATGAAGGACCTGAGTCCTCCTGTGACAGGTGACCTGCTTTTGTCTGTACTTGTCACTGGGGTGGGACGCTGAGAAAAGCTTGAACCCCTCCCCCCCCCAACCCTCCCATCTAACCAGCAAAGGGATGTACTTTTACCCCATAAATTCTCCAAAGTCACAGACATATGAATTTTAATGGGTGTGTGGGACTGGCACCAGGGGACACCAGGGATGCTGCCCCAGGTCAGATGATACAAAGGACCGGCCCACAACATGGAATTTTTTGACTCCCAAATGTCCTTAATGGCAAACATATTAAAGGGCCAAATCTCTTTTGGCATGAAGGTCAGTAGTCAGCAGGGTGAGGTAGGGTTGTATCTAGTAATCAAAAGGGTGGGCTAGAGGGTGTTTTGTGTTGTACCTTTGAATATTGAAGCCAATACAGTGACCTGTCAACTCTAAATAATGTCTAGATATGAGTTTTGTTGTATGTTTTTGTTTATTGATGGAGTGTCCTGCAATTGTGCACCTGCATTCTGATGCTACTGAGATATATCCAGACCCTAACAACCAGGAGTTCCACAGTTTAAAATTAAGGCCTTGAGAAGAAGTGCTGCAGGCGTGCCTGCATCTCAGCACACTGGGGCTTCCTAGGGCGGTATCTTGCTATAGGGGAGTGGGCTCGTTCTCTCCATTGTCAATCAGGAAGATGGCTCTGAGGCCCATTTTCCTCACAGGTAATGAGGGCTTTGTTACTGGTATTTTAGGGGTACTGTATCCTTCACATCCTGGACGAGGAGAGTCAGCTGGTAGTCCTGAAACTGCACAGACCCCACTGAAGATTCAGGTCCCTCAGTAGAAAACGACCACTGTCTTGATTTCTATGACAACTGTTCTGCTGCTCATGGCCTTGGCGGAGGGTGTCTCAAGGGCATGATTGAGCAGAATGGGCTGCCTCACAACTGCAATGGCCTTTTGAGGTGACCTGCCATTTTGCAACATCATCACCCAGCCAGGTTATTCTGTACTTGGCGACTCCAAGATAGGGCACTGAGATAATACAATGCTTTTCATGATGCCTCACCCCCACCCAAGAAAGGTAGAAGCTATTGAATGGCGTCCGTCTTTATGTCCTCACAGAAGGGGCTCCTGGACACCAGTCTCACCCAGGGGTTCTTGCATATCTTCACTTCCAAGTCCCAGGGACTCTCAGACCCAAAGGACTCCACCTAAGTGGGCATCAGTATTGTCTAGTTGAATGGAGTTGGGTTGGGGAATCATCTCCGTCACAGCCATGCTGAATCTTAGTGCTAAGGTTTCAGAAACCTATCTGTTTTTTTCTCATTTAGCCAACAAACCTCACTAAGGCAGCCTGGCTTGCTCTCCTTCTCAACTGGCCATCCTTTAGGTTGTATGAGGTCAGTCTCACTTCTTGTAGCATCTGCTTCCCTGGGCTGCATGCCTCTATTACTTTTCCATATCCCTCACCCCCGAAGTGCTGGCATGTCTCTCCCCAAAGCTTGGGGAGTTGGTTGAGATGTGGAGTGTGTTGTTGGGTGATGGGGATGAGTCAATGAGTCTTCTGGCTCTGACTCCTCATCTGTCCATTGAAAATCAATGACCTTTCCTGCACTTGGAACAGCTTTGAGATGAACTGGGCATTGGGGCCAGGACGGAGTTTCTGGGGTTGCAATGCCATGGGATAGGTGCTCTGCCTCCATGGCTTTGGGGCAGGCACAGAATCAGGGTGCCTGCCTGCTCTCATTCCCAGAACTTCTGAAGCCCAGTCTCCTTAGTTGACCGCTGTCTGGTCAGGCCCTGCTGGATGGGGACAGGGTTACCTTCTGAACCACAGCAGGACCATTGGCATTTGTGGCTGCCCGGTCCGAAGTGCCCCGGGGACCAAGCATGTTTGGCAGCGTCCCTGCCTCTGCCCACCCCTCCCTCTAGTGGGAGGGCCAGAGTGTCCTCAGACTTCAGCAAGCACCTCCTGGAGGCCATGCTCACTGTCTATGGGTTTTACCACTCTGGAACTATCTGGGTTCAAATTTAGAAGGCGTTGTGTTTTATTTCTTTAAATCATCGTTTTATTATGTGTCTAATATGTGTGTTCATTTGTAGTTTAGTATCTTGAGTCACCAAGACCTTTTGAGGTTACCAGAACCCACAAACCCCAACAGTGAACAGGTCAGCATTAAATAAAAGGGTTTTTTGGTTTTTTTTTTTTCTTTAGCAGAAAGTGTGTAGAAAGTATATAAATCGGAAAAAGTTGCCAAATTGCTGGCCTGGGATTTGTTGTCTGGCTGCTGCTGCTGCTGGGCAGTCTGGAAGGCTGTGAGGAGGAGCCTGTGGCACCAGCCTGGCGAAGGTGGGGAGCACCACCCCTTCTCTTCACCTAATGAGCTACTTATTGTTTTGCCTTTTAAACTGGGATTTTCCTTAGAAACCTATGAGTGCCTTTAGCGTCTTG